CCGCAACGGGGCTGGAGGCTCTGGTCCTGGATGGCGCATCTGTTCATAGCTGTATTTGTAGGGCGTATCTTTATATCTGGCATTAAATGGATGGCTCCTGGGAGTGCCCCATGACCGGGCGCCTGCTGTTGCATGCAGAGCCTGGAGCTGAGCCGATTGCAATTTGCGCATCACCAAATCCAATAGGTGCCAATGTTTTCAGGGTAAGAGAGCTTCTGATGATACTCCCAATGTTAAATGTGTTGCAGCCTGGGCTCGAGACGCTGCTAATAGGTAAGTCGGGATACCTGTAATTGATCTTTTATATATCGTATCTCAACTATTCTTGGAGAGGAGTGCAGAACCTCTTGCCACTTGCAAGGTGCAAGTATGTTCGGTGTCACTCTGTTCACACTGTCGACGGGTTTCCGAAGTGCAGCAAGGTCTTACCGGTACCTGTAATTACAAAGGCAACACTCGATGCAAATTAGCAAGATCCGGGAGCGCCAAGTAAAAGTTGTCGAGGTCACATGACTGCCCGTGTGGAGCAGCGACACAAACCAACAACAACGCCAACTGGTCGAAGGGAAAGGTTTCTTTCGCCCCAGTATCCTCTCATCCTGGAGGAGTTGTCGCCTCTCACGGTTATCAAGATAACGCTACGGGACCTACCAAATCGGCTTCATAATGGATCTCTCGTCCGCATCGACATATCTGAACAACTTACTGGCAAAGGCTGGGCTGCTGAAAGGGGGGACCACTGTCAACTTCCACAACCCTTCCTCTGATGATGGTTCGACTACACGGATCATCAATCTTGTGCACGACTTGGTCACGAGAAGAGAAGTATGTAGGATCTGCAAATTGTGAACGATAGCAGAAGAAGGTGCTGACAAATTTTCTCGCTGTAGAAAGAAGAGGAGCAGCTGGAAGGTCTAGCCAACACGATACGAACATTGCGCAGTGATAACGCGAAATTACAACAAGCCAATGTATGTTGCCTACCAAACTGCTCTGAAATCAAAAATCTGTGCCGAAACTAGAAGTCACAATGGTGAGAACGATATCTGACGATGTAATAGGAGAAACTGGGTAAGAAATGCGAGGAGCTCGAACGGAAAACCTTCACGCTGGAGGGACAGCAAAATGCTTTTCATTCCACTCTGCGAACCTCCGAAGCCGCCGCCAAGTCACTCCGTGATGAAACAACTCGGCTAAAAATGGTTCTTCAACAAGTACGAAATCAATTCGCCATCGATATCCGGAAGCGAGATGTGCAACTTGGTAAGATCAAGGAGCAGCTCCTCAACCCCCGACGAAATCCCAAGAATGTCAACACAATTACTATTACCGGCACGGTACCTCCAGCTGCTGCAGATGTGGGCCCCCAGAGTGCTTGCGGTCCTGATTGCATGGCGCAGGATACAGCAGACGCCCTCACAGAACTCTCCCAGACACTTGCGAATGAGAACGACAATCTAGTTAGCATAACACGACAAACGCTATCAACCCTCAACACAATACAAGGGATACAGGATGATTGTCATTTCCCACCAGAGGAAGAGTCGGGTGATGCATATTTATCTGTCTGTCCGCAATCTTTCGAAGCGTTATCTGAAGAGTTACAGCATTCGCTGGAAAGCCTGAGGGAGATGATAAACCAGCCCAACTATGTCGCCATTGAGGAATTGCAGGAACGGGACAAGATAATCGAGGAGAAAGAGAAGGAGATTGCAAGACAACAAGTTAGGATAGAGCTTGTTGAGGAGGAGTGGAGGAAGGCGATCGAGATGGTGAAGATGTGGAACCAAAGTATGAGGGGGAAGCTTCCGAGTACCACAGTCGCGCCTATTGAGGCGACACAAGAGAGGACCGTGGGAGGCTTAGAACAGATTCTAGAGGAAGACGAGGAAGAAGAGGAGGAGGACGTTAGGGTTCAGGTTCAGATTCAGAAGAAGCAAGCGTATTCAGCCGCTGAGCAACACGTTGAAGAGAGGAGGTGTGTAGATCCAGGAAATTCGGATGACATCTTCTTGGATGAAGAACAGCTTCAACGCGAAGCTTCCATGATTGTGGATGAGGTTGGCGACGCTGCGGAAGCTGAGGAGGATGAAGAGCAAAACCTGGAGCGCATGAAGTATATGTTGGAGGACATGGATGAAGAGTACGATGCGATAAATAGGGAGCAGTTCGAGGAAAATCAGGGAGAGAAGGATAGCGAGCGAATGGAGTACGATGGCACTGAAGGAACAGAGGCACTTGAGGAACCAGATGATGAGCATCAACTTGAGGATGAAGTACCAGGGGACGAAGAAGCACAAATAGAAATGGACGATGAGCAGGATGAGGAAATGGAAGATAAAGAGGACCTACCTGATCAAGAACATCTCGGCGGAGCCCTGGAGGCATCTATCAACACGGCCGCCCTGGACTCTACCCCACCACCAACGTCGCCACCAAAGTTTCCGCCCCACCGCCCAAGGAGGACTCCTAGGACTATCAAAACTTGCAACCTCGATGAAAATGTATCACCCTCACCACTAAAGCTCAAGAGCACGCCATCAAAGTGGATCCTGAACCCTCGGAGATCACCGAGGAAAGCCCTTGCCCCAGCTTCGCCTCCATCACCAATTCACACTAAAATCAATCGCTTCTTGTCGGACATACTTCAAGCTGAGTCGCCTGCCGCCCCGACGGAGTCCTCTAAGAAGGCTACTCCAAAGAAGGTTTGTTCCCCTCCAATGTGCCTCCCCTCCTATCGCCTTTGCAACTAATGTAAACTGTAAGAAGACTACCAAACGAGCTCACTTCGAGTCTCCCCTCATCCAGGATACCCCCGAACTAAGTACGCCGAAACGAAGGAACCAAGGCTTTACGCCACCGCAGTTCGGGAAGTTTAGGGACGAAAACACCCCTGCCACACCGAGGCGCACTTTAAGGGTTTCCAACTGGAGACTCGAACTAGACACATCTGGAAAAGGGCAGGAAAATACTCTTGACACTCCGAGACGTAGTTCCAGCAAAAGACTCGAACTGGATACGCCCGGAAAAGGGCAGGAAAATACTCTGGACACTCCGAGACGTAGTTCAAGGGCATCCAACAAAAGATTCTTGTTGGATACAGTTGGAAAAGGGCAGGAAAATACTCTTGACACTCCGAGACGTAGTTCAAGGGCATCCAACAAAAGATTCTTGTTGGATACACCCGAACAAGGGGAAGATGAGACTGCTGGCACCCCAAGGCGCACTTCAAGAGTACCTAAGAAGAGAGTCCTGTTTGATACACCTGAACAACCAGCTTCGATGAGGGTATCGAAAAGGCGTAAGACACCGGCGATAAAGAAGCACGGTGGGCCAATGAGGTTGGATAACAAAGATGATGAAGCTTTCTCGCATTAGGGAGTGCGGGAGTTAGAAATGTTGTCTATTGTCTGATGCAGGCTTGAATGAACCGCGGTTAGGCTTGTATCTTACTTTTTTCTTTGCTTTCTACTATTGCTTTGGTTCGAGGATTCTTGCACATATCCTTACTTTCCGTTCTCTGTCCCTTGCCTTAATCAATATTCCTTATTCATCCTTTTTCCTTGCTTTTAACAAGTTGTGTTGTTTATCTGAATTGGCGTACACAGGAAAGGAAAGGCGAGTATTTATTCATTCTGTTGATAGTATGATATCCTTAATACCACTGGTATTACTAATCTTCGGATGGTTGGGTGGGTAAATTAGGTTGTTATTTGGTTAAAGGCATTCGGGCGAGAATGTGTGGTTGGAAAAAATGGGGTGGCCGCGTGAAATGGGTCGACAGTATTGTACATACGTTCATCATAAACAGGCGTGTGCCAGAAAGTGCATAATTTCCCATGATTAACTTTGAAGAATTCTTGTTCAGCTTCAACACTTCCTGGATACCCGCGAGTCCAGAGGTTTGGTAGAGAGTTCAGGGTGAATTACACAGCATTCAGTTTGTAGCCTATACCACAAGCAGCCCGGGCCCGCGCTTGAAAACTGTATAATAGTGTAGTAGCGGGCAAGAACGATCATATAAGGTAACTCTCCAACGACCCGCTCTTGTCCGTGAAATCAGACAAAGGTTCCTATATGATGCTATCCAACAGCCCTTATTCTTACTAATTGGAACCATCCCTATTTTTTGTAGTTACATTTTTTGCACGAGCTAAGTACAATAGACAGAAATAAAACCCTTTGTACATCCATCCATTATCTATTACGGCCTATGCATAAATAAAGTAGTACTAGTTCTTATTTGGGGAGCCCAGGTCAACCTGAACTGTTGTTTTCTGATCCATGCGATGACATTCTCCATTATTCAGTCACAGTAGAAGTTTTGAGGAACAAGGAGGGTAAAAAAATGAAAATAAAAAAAAAATTCACAGCCCGATGCGAGGCTCGAACTCGCGACCTTGAGATTCCCATTGCAACAATAGCAACTAAGAGTCACACGCTCTACCGACTGAGCCAACCGGGCAATTTGTTAATTTATTTTCCTTGTTTGGTTTATATCATACCAAAATTTCCCTTCGTGAACACCCTGCATGATTACACTCACCTTATGAATTTACGAGCGGCTTTTTGGATAGAAATTGGACTTGATATGAAGTTTCCATATCCAAATTTATAGGCCTATAGAAATTCTTTCAGCTGCCCTGGTGATTTTTTGAAGTCCTCAGGAATTGAAAAACTTGTGAAATAACGCTATTCCGCATACAAATTAGCGCAATTTCTGCGATTTTTGGAATTGGCTTCAGTTCTATATAGACTGCTGTGCCTTTCTCTTGAATATCTACAATTTCTTTTATGTAAACCGGACACGGTTTTTTAAAAATTTTCTCACGATAGCCACTTTTGGTGTGTTTTGGTCTGGGAGTGATGAAAATATATTCATGCATGTATGGAAATCTATACAGTTGGGCAGCACCAGAAGGCACAATGAATATAGAGGATTGGCGGGATGAAGTAAAAGAAGTGAGGACGGGTGTTACCAAATTCATACTCTTTTCGGAAATTATCTACAGAGATGGCTGTATCTATTGCTATACAGGGTTTTTTTTACCGTTGGAGGATGACCTAGAATAAATATTTTTGAGTTTCATTTAAACGTGTATACGCATCTCCCCTCTTGTATCTATGTATAAATGGAAAAATAAAGGTAGACCAGAAGGAAAAGAAAAAAAAGGATTGATAAAAGGAGGGGGATTCAAACCCCCGCGGGTTGCTCCACGAGAAACCTGTTCTAAGAACAGAAGCATCCGACCCTCTCAACCCCCCACCCGATGCTCTTGTTGTACAAAGCTAACTCTCGAATGAGGCTCTTGTTCTCTACAAAACCGCCGCCGCTCATTATACCTGGCACTCCGCGCGAGCCTAGCCATGTACGACAAGAGCATCGGGTGGGGGTTGAGAGGATCGGCTTAAGTGTGAGGCGGCCTATGACCCATCCTGAAGGGCAGACTATCTTGCAGGCAAGCTGCAAAACTATTGTACGAAGAAGACCTACATTGCTGGTACTAGTGTACAAGAGTATAAGCACCAAGAGCGCCGACTACTTGTTTGGGAAAACCGTTGCGAAAACCCATATTCCAAAACCCACGCCAAAACCCACGTTGTCAAACCCGTGGGTTTCACAACAAACAAAGAACAAAGAAATGAACCAAGGTAAAAGTAAGAAGCACGTGCACTAGACGCTAGCTCATCACACTTATGTCCAACTGCCTTTGTAATTCCACCCAAGGACTCCCTCCTCCAGCAGACTCCTTTCTAGTAACCCTTTCCCAAAATGTGAGACAGGTAAAATTAGCCTTTCAGATCCCTTCGCTTTTTTGTATTTTAACCAGATTTCTTTGCTGCAACCACTGTTCTTTCCATGTATTTATCGCATACATTGGTATAATTTTCGTGCTGGATTTTCCTTCCCAGGGATTGCCTTAATAATCAGCCTTTCCTTCTTAACTTGTTGTCGTATATAATGAAATCTATGTTCAATGTGTCTTGTTCTGCGGAGGCATCGTGAGGTGTAGGATAAATGGTATGCTCCTTCGCTATCGGTTTTTAGTGTAGGTTTTAGCTGAATATTTATCTCAGCTAGAAATTGTTGTGCCCAGGCGGCGTCTTTCGCTCCTTCACAATCTGCAATATATTTCGGCTTCCGTGATGGACAAAGCAACTGTATCTTGTCGTCGACTGTACCATCCTATTGGTTGGTCTCCTAAGGTCATTAAAACCCCCGTTTGAGACTTAGCTCCCCACCAAAGGATGAGTCGGCATATATAGTTAGGTTAAGGTTGTTTGTATGTCTTAATGCGAGACCAGTATTTTTGGTTGTCCATAGGTATTGCAGTATCTCTTTGGCAGCTAGAAAATTTGTTGTTGATGGTTTCGCTGTTCCCCTGCCTAGCAGATTAACATATATAGATATCTCAGGTCTAGTAATTCGTGCTATATATAATAGACCTCCTACCATAGGAGGTGTATGCTTCTCACCCACTTAGGTGCTGGTGTCTACTGACTTAATTGCTAATAGGCTTTCTTTAAAATACTCGCCTACGATAGAGATAAAGAAATAGAAATGAAGACCTGCGTCAAGGAATTAATCACGAACTCTGAGAAGGCAATGAAGGAATTAATCACGAACTCTGAGAAGGTAATGGAATGCCATATGCGGGTGATGGAAGGCCGTATCAGCAAATAAAGTGCTTGCTGATGTTTAATGAAAAAAAAGAGGCACTTTTCCCATGTATCCGAATGAAAAGCCAAAGTAATCGAAAAACGACCCGTAACCTTTACCTATGCCTCTAGCCTGAATACACCAAGCAACGTCGACAGAAAGCAATGAAACAACCCTACTGATAAAAACGATTGTTGGTATCACCACCATCGTTTAGCATCCCTTGCGTTAATCGCTGTAATGATACGGCTTTCCATCACCTGCATATGGCATTCCATTACCTTCTCAGAGTTCGTGATTAATTCCTTCATTGCCTTCTCAGAGTTCGTGATTAATTCCTTGACGCAGGCCTTCATTTCCATTTCTTTATCTCTATCGTAGGCGAGTATTTTAAAGAAAGCCTATTAACAATTAAGTCAGTAGACACCAGCACCTAAGTGGGTGAGAAGCATACACCTCCTATCCCAATAAGGACTGTTCCAACCCCAAAGGCGATAACATATTTATTCCAACCATCGAGACGGGTAATTTCCCTGCGAATACCAGAAACTTCCTGACAACAAGTGAGCCTATGTCCAAATGAACGTATATTTTGGATCCGTACCCCGTTTAGTTTCCAAATTTCTTTGTCAACGCCATTGTTTGTTGCTGGTTCAACCCCTTGGGGCTTTTCGGTAACTGCTCCGGCCTCGTTGGTTACTCTCTGCTGCAATAGTTTTAGTATACCTCACTGAACCATCATTGGAACCTCTACTTGCTTGTACAGTGTTGCTGAAATGGCGAAAAAGGCGAGTGCCATAATAACTGTGACGAAAAAAACGCAGGTGCCGGGCTATGTTGAGGGTTATGTAGTCTGGTTAAGGGTTATGCTTGGGTATGGCTTCCTTATTTGGTATAGTGGTGCAGGTCTTGTACATTGTTGTAGAAAGATTGTTTGGTCCTTTTGCAGTTGCTAGCGTCCTTTGGCGGGACTGTCCCACCTAAAAGACCTGCCGCTTTTATTGTCTTGGCCCCATCAATTTGTATGAGGGGAGGTACATGGACAGTGGCACTAGGTACCAGTACTTCACTCATATAGTAAAGTAATATATGTAGAGAGGAATTGGATGTCACTTTTCACTCGACTTTGTTCTCGGTTCTCTGCAGATATTGTTAGCTGTAAAGTGAACAACAAAGGCGCGTGGTTGGTGGACTTACCAAACTTACTCTTTACACCAGTGGTCACTGCAATACTGTTAGCTTGATATCTATGTGGTGTGAATGACATCGAATTGTTATGAGGATCTTTGGGATAGAAAAGACTCGGAAGGGTGACAGAAAGAAGCTCAGAGGAACTTACCCTGAAGTTGAGGTTCTATATGGTACAGTAACATCAGTATTGCTTGTCAATATGGGGTATCAAAAGAAGAAGATTTCGATGTGCATCCTCATGCCGTGAAGGAAAGAAAGACAGAGGGGGGTAAGGCTTCCTCGGAGGATCATTTTCGAAAATGCTATCAATTTTGACCATCGGATTCAGCACAGTGTTGCTATCCAGGTCCGAGTCTGTAACCATGTCGGGTTTATTCCATTTCCAGAGTTTAAGATCAGGCGCACGCATGTCCCTTAAACTGCTTGGCCCTTCGATGATAATGAGCTTCTTCAGATCCGCAACAGGTTCCTGTCTTTCGATTTTAACTGTAAAAACTTCATTGAATGAATCCCCATGAACCAGACAGAAAAGGGACACGAGATCGGGACATTGTGTTACAGGGTAGCAGAAGAGTCTGATGCGAACTTGGGTTTTGTAGGGATGTTTGCGGGTGAAGTGGGGAGGATGCCATCAGCAACGAGAATATCCGCACCTGACGTGCTGGAGGGTCTGGTGTAAAACTTCTTTTTCCATTTTCGCTAAAATGGAGCTACCTACTTGGCAACGTAATACGTACACAACCAAAAAATAGACTGCAATTGGACATCAATCAAGAATAATTATATTATTATATTCTTAATTTGCATGGGGGCGGCTGGGTTATATTCTTATATCGAGAGTATACTTGAAGGCGTGCACGGAAAGCCAGAGTAAAAAATTCATTCCCGAGGGATCACTATTAAGTAACGGCTCTAGTAACTTCTCCCGGGTTTTCTCTTCCTGAGTCCCCTCACCCCAAATTTTTCCCTTCACAGCTCTTGCCTCTTTACACACATGAGGGAGTACAGTACAGTACTGGGTAGGAGAGTAACTTCGTGACAAGAGGGTAAGGACGTGTTTCCTGAGTAGATCAACCGTTGTAATCCTAAGCCGAGCTCCCAGCACCCGTCTATGGCTAGACCAAGGCATCACACTCATTCCCGAGTTCTCTGAGGTAACTACACCTGAATTAACAGCAGTTTATATGTGTATTCGGATGCATTATTGTGTTCTTATGAAAGCCCCATGCACATGACAAGACTGGTTATGCGGCCAGATCAATATACTCTATGCCGAGTGGAGTGCCGAGTGTATAACACGACTAGGTCAAATTGGGTAGAGCTTACTCTGTACTTAAAATCTGATCTAGATTTCAAGAAAAGTTATAGAAGGAATTAAATTGTAGTTTTGGCTGATGAAATTCCATATTTACAAAGGGTTGGACTTGGTCTGGTCCATATATGATTCTTCCCTGGAATATTGGACCATTCCATCACGTGCCCTATGTACTGTAGTTGCCAAGGTCGCTCAACCAGCCAATCATGTCAGCTCTGAAGCTCTACACCATCAACGGCAGCGATAACGTCAGATCCAGCTCCCTCCATCCAAATCTCAATTGCAATCTCCCTAAATG